GGGGGGGGGGCAGGGATTTTTGCTACCGGGTCTCTGAAGCACCCGCCTCCATCGCTACAGAATTTGGCGATCCGGTCCGAACCGGGAGCATTTCACCCGTTATAAAGTATTATAAAATACTAAAGTAAATAGATATTAGCTCATGTTCTGATAGTAATAACATTTCTACAAAAGTAGTCAATTCTTTTGTGTTTAACGTTTTTATTGAGTTATAAAGTATTATAAAATACTAAAGTAAATAGAAAAACAGTGGGGGAGGGGCACGGGAGGGCTGCTGGAGGTTCGCAGGGGTTCGGGAGAACCTCTATGTAAGATTCTGTGCAGTTCGGAGAACCCTCAAATTCCACTCCTGGCTGGCCCCACCCATCCTGCCCCACGCCTCCCAGAAGTTGCCACGCGGCCTGTTTTGGATGCAGGTAAGTGCAGGGTGCGTGCGGAGGCTCAGGGAGGGCAAAAAACAAGCCTACCAGAAGAGGCTGTTTTTATTTATTTATTTATTTATTTATTGGTTCGATTTATATGCCGCCCTTCTCCGGAGACTCAGGGCGGCTTACAATGTGTTAAGCAATAGCCTTCATACTTTTGTATATACCTGCTTAGTAGGGCTTTCGCCCCCCCCCCCTACGCGGTGTTCTTTTTTATACAAAGTCAGCTTATTGCCCCCACAATCTGGGTCCTCATTTTACCTACCTCGGAAGGATGGAAGGCTGAGTCAACCGTGAAAGCCTCCGGAGCCCAGGGAGGGCAAAAATGCCCCCCTCCCATCGTGGTGCAGGAGGCCGACTAGACCATGCCCACCATGGCCACGCCCACCCAGCAACTGGGCAGAGAACCCCTTGCTAAAATTTTTGAAGCCCACCCCTGGGGAGGCGAAAGAAATGAGGAAAGATAACGGGGAAAAGAAAAGAAAAAGCAGCATTGACTTCCGACTCTCTCTGTTATAGCAAAATAAGGCATTAATATCAAATAATAACTTTTTGCTTTTTCATAATAGCATGCAATATCAAGCCTTTTCTATAAAGATCTATCAATCTGCTCAGTAAAACCCAAAGTCAGAATTTCATTCGTTTCCACATCAAGCACGAAGTGCAGAAGCGGTCTCCGTGTGGAAGCAAAAGTATTTATGTTCTTTTCTTTAATCAAAGTGGTCAATTTTGCCATTTCAGCCAACTCCATCAACCTCTCCAATCATTCCGTCCATAGTAGGAATCGAAGTGCCCTTCCATTTTTGTACATACAATAGTCTTGCTGCTGTCAACATATATAGTAACAAAGTTCCACATTTTTTTTTCTCCAGTTCTTTTTCCATTAAGCCCAAAAGGGAAAAATTCTGGTTTCATTTTTATTTCCATTTTCAAAATTTTCTGTATTAAAATATGAATCATACTCCAAAAAATTTTTTTTGCTTTATCACATGTCCACCATAGATAATTAAAAAGTCCCCTTTTTACTTTCACACTTCTAACATTCATTTGACATACATCTTTATACAGCTGAGATAACTTATCTGGTGTTAAATACCAACGATACATAGATGTAGTCGATTCTTTCGCAACCAACTGCACAGAGACACATAGCCTCAAGGGATCTTAAAAACCTAACAAAAGTTGTAATCAAAAGCTTTGTGGCCCATCTCATCAGATACCGGAATTCAATTACCAAATGCAGAACGGAGACAATGGAGAAGAAAGAGATGGAGTCAGGGGTGGGATTCGTTCGGGTGAACCGGTAGTTACGGCCAGCGGCTGGGCCCACCCACCCGCCCTGGTGTTATCCCGTCTTATACAATTGCTGTATTTTTGATGCAGTGCACATCAGAGGTGGGTTTCAGCAGGTTCTGACCAATTCTGGAGAACCGGTAGCAGAAATTTTGAGTAATTCAGAGAACAGGTCAATACCACCTCTGATTGGCCCCACCCCCATCTATTCTCTGCCTCCCGAGTCCCAGCTGATTGGGAGGAAATGGGGATTTTGCAGTAACCTTTCCCTGGAGTGGGGTGGGAATGGAGATTTTACAGTAACCTTCCCCTGCCAAGCCCACCAAGCCATGCCATGCCCACCAAGCCACACCCACAGAACTGGTAGTAAAAAAATTTGAAACCCACCAATGGTGCACATGTACACAAGGTTCACACGAGAGCGAAGCTACCCTGTTCTATACAACTGCCATGTTTTTGATGCAGCACGCATGTGCGCAAAGGGGCACACTCACATTTTCGATTCTGGGCAAACCGGTTGTTAAATTATGTGAAGCCTCCCTCTGGTTGGAGTGATGGAGAAAGTAAGAGTCTTTCCCATCATGCACACTGGACTTCAACTGCCATAATCCTATATACCAGCACACAAAGTATT